CTTGGGGACTCTCATCACAGGGGTGCATTGGAGCATTCTGACCCCTGCCCTGCACATCTCCTTCTCTTCCTCCTGATGCTCTCTAACTATCTCCTCCTTCCCAAGCTCCCTCAGCACCCCTGGAGTCCAATGGGTGTTTGCCTGCAGGCTCCATGTACTGCCAGATGGGGGAAGGAGACAAGCCACTTTTCAGGCCAACTTCAACAGACACTACTAGAATGGACAGCCTTGGCTGACTTTTTTTTGTCAAAGAAGGGATAAGGGAAGATTCCAAGAGAGCAGCCAGCTCCTGGGGCTGTTTTAGCCCTGACAATTTTGATTTCATCTCCGTTAGTTCACCCACTGGGGTACTCAGGTAGCCCATGATAAAGCATTTGAAGGTGGATTTCTGGTACTATCTAATTACTCATCTAAAGTGAGCTAATGTTACCATCTCCCTACCCTTGCTAGACAAGCTGACTGTGGCCTTCAGGAGGAGATGATAGAATAACCAAGGATGTTCACATTCAGGAGTTTGCTGAATAGTTATATAGCTTTCTTCTCTATCTGGCCTCCCTTTAGTATCCTTCTTCAAGCAAGGAAAGGAGATTTTCTTCATCATTGCTGTTCTCAATGCTATGTAGACTTATATTACCTTCCTGTCACCAACATTCTTATAGGAAGGCATTTCCCGCAGGTGGTCCCATGACAGAGAGGTAGAAAAGCCCAACTCCCCCTACTACTGGAAACGGGCAATCTATACAACTTGTCCAAGGTCCAGTCATTACAATGGTAAAGACCATTCCTTCTGCTTGTTTGTATGACTTACATTTTTTTAATGCCTCATAAGGGAAGTGGTTAGTATATAAATGGTACTTCAATGCCATTCTGGCAATTCTTTCTAAATGGAATTTTCAAACCATTTCTTTTCCAGAAGTCCCATGCACCCAAAGAAACACACAGCAGACAAAGAGCAAAGGGGTATGAGTATTGATGAGAGTTAATACAAGCATAGAATTCCGAGATCTGAATGCTCTGGGTCCTGCCTCTGCAACCTCTGTGTGCCCTCTCTCTGAGGCCTCCTGCCTCAGATTTCCCCAGGTCCCCTGTCCTCAGATACAACCATTTGACCAGAAAAGACTGAAGGTGTTTAGAAATTTAAAAAAAAGAAAAGAAAAAAAGATTCAGAGGCCTGCCACCTTCTTGCTCAGCTCCCAACTCCCTGCTCTGGCTCCATACTTTATTCATCCTATGCCCTTAGGTTTTATTCAGTTTCCTTGGTGGTTTCCATGACCACCAGAAGCTTGTTTTTGTTTTGTTTTGTTTTATTGCCTATCACAAGAATATGCTGGAGGAGACAGACACCATGACCCCATAGCAGATGACCCTGGAGGCAGGTGGTACTTGAAAGATGTTTGCTAAATGAACAAATTCAAATGTGCTACCTATCACAGAAAATCATCCCTGACCTGTTACTACAGTTTGGATCTTGAATGTCCTCCAAAGACTAAAGGCTTAGTCCCCAGTGTGGTGCTATTAGGAGGTGGTAGGACTTTAAGAGGTGGGGCCTAGTGGGAGGTATTTAAGTCATTGTGTTATAGACCCCAGCCCCTTCCTCTTCCTCTCTTTTTCTTCCTGATCATGAGGTGGGAAATTTTCTCTGCCACACATTCTCACCATTATGTATTGCCTTACCACCAGACCAAAAACAACTGGGCCAATCTGTCATGGACTGAGATCTCTAAAACTGTGAGCCTAAATAAGCCTGTCCATTTTACAAGTTGATTAGCTCAATGATTTCTTCCAGTAATGGAAGGTGGACTAACAAACTAACCTGGGAACAAAGACCAGCTTGAATGCTTCTAGATGAGACAAATGAAGATTGTGGCCAAGTTAACATTGAAGGGATTGGATCCTGTCCCAAAAGAGGCCATGGGGGTGGATAGACACAGAGATGATGTCTACCCAGTTGTTTCACTTCTGGTCTCCACCCCCTCCCCAGCTTTCTTACCAGTGGTACACATACCATGCCTGTCACTTCGAAGCCACAGTTTAAAAATAAATCAGATATGTCTCCAAACTAAGAAGTTAAAAAGAACAACAGTAACAAAAGGCATTAAATAATACAAGATTTTCAAAGGAAATTTTACAAGATAAAGTAATTTGTTTGCATGAAAAAAATACCAAGGTAGGAGAATATTAAAATGTAGATAACAAAAAAAAAGTAGATAACAAGAGGATGGTAGCTTTAAGAACTCAAAATGATTTATAATTCACTCTAAAAGAAATGAAACATTAAAGATAAAAGCTAAGACAAAGATAGAAGGAAAAGAAAAATTCTAAACAGGAGTAGGAAGTAAATCAAGGCAGTTCAAAATTAATGTGCTCATGAAACAACAACCAGAAACTTTGAATAATTAAGACAATAAGTAAAATAAGCAATATTTTTTATGTAATCTGGTAATATATTTTCATATAGTACAAAAAATAAGCTTATAATGCTAAGGTAATAGAATATAAGATGCCAATAAGTTAAAAGCTGGCAATGGGAGTTCTTGAAGCTTCTAAATGAGGTCACCATATGGTCCCTGGCAGACATTCTCAGGGACCCTGTCTTGGTCAACTTGTCCCTGTTCTTGTCCCTGTTCCTTCTGAGGTACTGTTAGGGCTGGGGTGACACAGCCTTCAGCAAGCACTGCCTCCCATCAGTCTGGATCAAGCTGAAAGTGAGGTTCTCTCCTTAGACCTTGGCACTTCCCACCATTGCAACATGCAGCCTGAGGACCCCAGGGTTTCCACAGGCTTCTCCTTCCAGCTCACAAACATGATAGAGGACCCTCTGAGTTTGAGAAACCAATTAAGAATGAAAAGATAGATGATAGAGAAGAGAAATAGCATATTGGAAATTAACCAAGAAAGACACAAATCCATTTGTCGAGAATAAAGATAAAATTTTTAAGACTATAAAACAGAAAAGAGATGAATAAAAAGAACAATAAAGAGACTGACAGCATCATTTTTTTTTTCAGAGTAACAAGCATGAGTTTATTAGAAGGGGAGAAGAGAAAAGGGATATACTCAAGGGAGAGTGTGGGTCCTCTCAGAGAGGAGAGGAACATTGTGTGCTTTTTCACTCCAGTATTGAGGATCCCAAAGAAATTTCTAGATGGTCCCACCCAGGTCCACTTTTTGGATTTTAACTGACAGCAAGGTGACATCACACTGTCAAGTCCCCAACAGCACCACTTTTTTAAAAAAAAATAAAAAACAGATTCTAGAAAATAGGCAGTTTTTATAAAATAGAAGAACAAGAATGTTTTAATAACATATATGTATCTAAAATATAACCTGATAAAATATATAGAAGGTGCTTGTGAAACTTATGATTTTTTTGACTTTCTGATGGTGTGAAGAAAATATACTGTCAGTAGAATCCATAGTTGCAGTTTTGAATTTTGGTCTTTTCACTGGTTAGCAGTGTGTGGTACTAATGTGATGCCCAGGGCTGTAGCAGTGAACAGCCTGCCATCACAACTGATACTCAACAGTAATGGTGCTGCTAAGTTGTTTGGTAGAAAATGTGTATTAAAGGGATTTTCAGGATGTTTTCAGCGTACAGTGGGTTTAAACGGACATCCAACCCAATGTGATAAATCCAAGAGCACACATGCAAATGCTGGACCTGAATGGGAGGAGAAACAATCATAATTGTGGTAGGATAATTTATTACAGACTTCTTAAAGCAGCTAAATTGAGAAAACACAAAGCAAGCAATGATTCAGAAGATCAGAAAAATACAAGCAACATGATCAAACTAGTAGAAATATATAAAACTCCATAAGCAACATTTATTTTAATTGTTACATGAAACTTTTTTGAAAGACTGTCCCTATGCTAGGCCATAAAAGAATTAATATTATGTTGCCACAATAAATGTCATATAAACTATGTTCTGCTGCTAAATGTGATGAATTTACCAGAACAAAAGAAAGGTTTTATAAATCCCACATATCTGGAAACAAAATAACCTATACTAAAGAGATTTAGGGTTTAAAAATATTGCAAGAAAAATTAAAATGTTAATAGAATTCTACAAAAAATATAGCATTTCCAAATATTTGTAGAAACTGCTAAAACCATGCTCCAAAGAAAATTTAAAAATTTAATGAGAATGAAGTGAGATACTTTGTAGTTATAAAAGAAATAACATTTCAAGAAGATAAAAGAAATCATGAATGATTTCAGTTAATGCCAGACATTTAAAGGATATTTAGCAATAACAAAAAAGTTATATAAGATCAAGTTGACAAATTTATAATTGTTACAGAAAATTTTAATGCATCTTTATCAGAAACTGATATATTATCATTGATTAAATCATGGTTCAATCATACAATTTTGTCATACTTTGTAATTTTAAATGTTCATTTTATCTCTATATTTATATACAATAATATTCATGGCACATTTAAAGGAAAAAGTATAAATTAATGTCAGTTTATGTGCATATATATGTGTGTGCATATGTGTTGTATAAACAAAAATCTACCTAGCTACTTGGGAGACTGAGGCAGAAGGATCCAAATTTCATTGCCAGCCTGGGCAATAGTGATAACTTGTCTCAAATTATTAAAATGGGTGGATGGTGGCTGGGGATGTTGCTATTTGGTAACAGCCCCTTAGCTCAATCCCCAGTACTGCAAAACAAAGCAACAACGACAATAAAATAATAATAATATAAAAAATTATAAATTCTTGATGGTGGGATTATGGTTATTTTATACTTCCTTTTCTATATCTTAAGTATATTACTTTTCCAGTGATCATGTATTAATTTTTATATTCTGAAAAGATCAAAGAGTAACAATATTTTGGAGGAAAAAATGCTCCTTCATGTTACAGAATTTCCTTATAAGAGTTTTTTTGTTTTTTTTTTTTTTTTTGTTTTGAGAGAGAGAGAGAGAATTTTTTTAATATCCATTTTTTTCAGTTTTTCGGGGGACACAACATCTCCATCTTTATGTGGTGCTGAGGATGGAACCCAGCGTCCCACACATGCCAGGTGAGCACCATACCACTTGAGCCGCATCCCCAGCCCCAAGAGTTTTTTTTTTTTTTTAATATATAATTCTTAATCTCTTTATAGTTAGATACACTTTTTTTCATCCATATTCCCTAATTCTTCATGAAATTCTTCCCTTAACACAATTTGGTTATCTTGGAAATGCCATATAAATGGGATCATATACTCCATGACCTTTTGAGATTGGCTTCTGTCACTTAACAGAATGTCCTTACTTCATCCCAGTTATTGCATATACCAGTAGTTCATTCCTCTTTATTACTGAATTGTATTCCATGGTATGATGTACCACAATTATTCTAGCCATTCACTTACTGATAAATACAAATATCCATTTTTAAAAAATATTTATTTTTTAATTGTAGTTGGACATAATACCTTTTTAAATTTACTTTTAAATGTGGTACTAAGGATTGAACCCAAGACCTCATACATGCTAGGCAAGCACTCTGCCGCTGAGCCACAGCTCCAGCCCACAAATCTCCATTTTTTAACTTAAATTTAAAAAATAATAACTTTATTTTATTTATTTATTTTTATGTGGTTGCTGAGGATCAAACCCAGTGCATCACATGTGCAAGGCAAGTGCTATACCAGTGAGCCACAATCCCAGCCCCAAAATATCCATTTGTATTAATACTTCTCTCAGTAAATCTTTTTATATAAAGTAATCACAAATCTGTATAAATAAAATGAACCATTTTTTCATGGTGAATTTGCTTTTGTTTCTACTATCATTATTCAAAAAAATTAAAAGATGATATTGAATAATTAATATTTTAAACTTCATTTTTCTTATTTCATTTTCTGATTATATTTTATAAATCTATGCCTATTGTTGGCACAGTAATGGTGACCCCTACTTCATTAATGCCTACAAATGGTAAAGATATGTTGTACTAAAAATACATTTAACTGATCCTGCTTCACCATATCTCAACACAGATTAATTTTCTACAAGCCTTTTAGACCTCATTTTATGTTTAATGACCAAAGTGTATACACAACATAAATGTACCTGATATTTCTTTATGTTTATTTTAAGAATATCTCCTCTTGCTGGTGAGTGCCCAAGGAGCTGGCATTGCTTATAAGACAAGCACAATAAGGGAACTTAAACATCCACTGCAAAGGAAACTTAAGCATCCACATCTCTGCAACCCAGGATGTTCTGAGGAAGTCCTTCCCGAGGTTCTGTTGAAGGAGTAAACAGGACCAACATGCCTGCTTGGAAAAGCATACTCATTAGGTATATTCTTTTCCAGCTGTCAGCTCTCTACAGTGGAGGGTTCAATCTAAAGCATCAAATCCTTGATGAGCTTATGGTAGAATTAAGGACTATCTTCAGATAGGCAGAGTAAGGTTAAAGGTGGCTGCTAAGCAAGATAAGAATCCCATGCTATATCCATAGAGAATAATAAGAAGGTGATGCAAAAGCTCAGTCACCTAAGAGAAGTGTTACTCCAGACCCTGTTCTGGAAGGATTGAAAAGAAAGCTCCATGGTAAATCTTTAGGAAGAAGTAACAGTAGGCAAGGGAGAGTCCAGGTTTGCTTGGGGAAGTGGAAGCAGGAAAGGCAGTCTCTTAAGAAGTAAGGCTATCCAGTTAGGCTAATGCATTTCTAGAGGTAAACTGCTCAGCAGGCAGTCAAGAAAAACTCAGAGACATTCACTTTGAAATGCAAAATTGTGGAGCATGGGTAGCCAGCCATAACTGGACTCTGGTTCCTGACTACTCTTAATGAAAAGACTCAAGAAATATCACTTCATAATAAAAATCCACACTGCAAATCTTTCTTTGGGAAGAATCTTGAATTACTTGACCGCAAAGACCCCATTCAACGCAAAGATTATGGTTTTTAAGGTATCAAATATTGACAGACAAATAACATGTACTCAATAAATTTTTGCCCAAATGAATTGAACTGAATTGAATTCAGGAAGTAAAAGGGTCTCTATTTTACGACTTCAGTTTGTGTACTTTTCACAAAGAGCTGGATGAACTTCCTTTTCTTTCAAAGTCTTACATTTGCTCACTGCATTTCCCTGAGAAAATCTGCAAGGTAGAGCTCATCCTACTAAGTATATTTCAAAGGGCAAATTGCCTTCAGTGGTTTACTTTTGAGTTTCCTTTCCATAATGTTATTATTCTAAACATAGAGTTTTCATATCTCTTATCTAAAAATAAATTACCTGAACTTGATTGCATATAGGTTCATAGAATAATGAACATGGATTTTTGCTTAACATATATCCATTTGTTTTCTTACAAAGATACTTTATGATTTATGTTCCTTAATGGCTTACTTATTTGAAAAAAAATTCATGAAAGTATCAATGAGTTTTCTTCAATTGATTAAAATACTATACATTTCTTTCTCCAGTTCAGACATCTTTGTCTTTGATCCTGATTCACAGAATTTAGTGAGAAGGTAGAAAAGAGAATTATTATAGAAGATGAATGAACCACATGATGGACAAAGGATTGTAAAAGTAATAAAAAAGATTTTTTAACTTCAAAAATAAGTCAGAAAATGTAAGAATCTTTGTATAAGGAAATAAAATCTCACTTTAGCAAAAATTTATGAGTTTAACACATATTATATATTCTGACCAGAGGAACCACATTTACTTATGATCAAGAATCCTCTGATAATATTCTTTCTAATGGTCTTCTGAAATAAACTCAGCAAGACACTTGCTGTTCATAGTTACCCTAAGAATATCAAAATATCAAATTTTCAGTAGATTTACATTGCATATTACTGTTATAAATTACTTTATGTGCCTATTTTATTTTATCCACTTTTTTATATCTATAAGATGATCTAGATATTATCAAAATGGATTATATATTCAATTATTAGCATCCAGAAATGACTTTCTATTACTTTTAATGATGTAAACATTTTAATAAATGAGCAGGGCATATAATTATTATCTTTTTAATAATATGAAGATAGAAAGCATATTTACTAATAGATTAGACAACTTACTTTTCTTACCATGTTTGTTTTAGTTTGATAAGAACATTTTTATTGATTTGACAATTTTTGCGAAACTCATTGAAGACTTGCTTTCGCCTTCTCTTCTGGAATAATGTAGCTATACTATAATCTAATTAGGAAAACCTCAAGAGACAGTGGTTTTTTCTTATCATTAATATGAAGTGAGAATCTTGCCTTATTTTCAGTTCACAATTTTTTAAAAATTTATTTACCTGTAATAAGACTGCAAAGAAATCAAAGCTTAAAAGATATTTCCCCTATATAATTTTTAAGTAGGCATATATAGAAAGTTGCCAAGTCAAAAAGGATTATATTTCAAGTGGGTTGTCGAGGACTTGGGACATATTTTCTTAGAAACAATGTTGTAAATGATGTTCAGATGCTCTGCTGATTTACGAATGTGCTTATCACAGAAATGCTGCATATATTATAGAATGTATACTACCACTCTTTTCAGTAAATAAAATAAAAAGTGGAGGTTGAAATGAAATTTTATTTAATTTATATACTATGCTTGAAGTAAATCCAGTTTAATTAGGGATATTTATCAGGGTAATTTTAAAAGACACATGAGTCACTGTCTTTTCAAACATCTACTTTGAAAAAATTCTATACCACATTATTGTTTTCATATATTAAGTACTAAATTTCACTGGATAAAATTGTGGGAATATGAAAAATAGGAAAAAAATATCAAAACCCTTCTCCTTAAAAATAACCTTTCTTATGATGGTAGCAGTAGTTATCTGTTGCTTTATAACAAAACACTTCTTGAAATCAATAAACATTGATTAGTTCATTGTTTATGAGTTTAGATATCTAGGAATGGCTTACCAGAATGATGCTTTTAAAAATTTTTTTTATATTTTATTTCATTTCAACCTAACACTATTATTAAATATTACAAAATAGAGATACAAATATAAACTCCATTTCATTATTGTCCTATAATTAAACAACAAAACACTATGAATGCATAGTCAAAAACATATCTTTTTCTATTGTATTTTTTATTTTTATATTTTAGTACCAGGAATGAACCCAGTAGCATTTAACTACTGAGTCACATCCCCAGACCTTTTTTATTTTTTGAGAGTCTCTCTACATTGTTGAGGATGCCTTGTGATCCTCCTGCTTCAGCCTCCCAAGTTGCTGCTATTAGAGGCATGCACCATCATGCCCAGCTAAACACATCTTTTAATCAGCAAAAGTAAAAATAAAACTTCTTAGTTTTTCCTGTGTTCTTTACACCTGTCAAACAGTATATCTTACTTCAGTTGAGCTTATAGTATATGAAAATAATTTTAAAGGCACAACAGAACAAGTCACTTTATCTTGCAAAAAAATTTAAATTCATGTTGAAAAATCCTTGAGGAAGAGATTTTCATCTTGAGGTAGAAGGGGTCTCCTAAAGTCCAGATACAGAAGCACTTGTTTCCCCTTCCATTTTCAGGCTTGGTCAAGTGATGTACTGCTGTGAGTCAGAACTATCCTGCACTGTGATGTACTGCAGTGAGTTAGAACTATCCATGCAGCTCTGACTTCAGGCAGAACAGCTAGCTCAAAACCCTGCTTTGTTCTTCCAGGACCTACAGACAGCCTGAACTCATGAGCTCAGAACCCAGCTTCTCATTAGTGCTACTAGGTGCTAGAGAGAGTCCCCAGGGTATTTTTCAGAGCATTTAAAGAATAAAAGTACACATATGAACAAGAGTTGGGGGCATTATCTAAAATATTGAGAACAGTTCCACCATTTTTAATAATAACTTTAATAACAAATATATATTGTATACAGATTAAAGTTATTTTTCTTATCAAGGATCATTTCTTTTAACCTAGATTGTTCTTCTATGCCTTCAGTCATAAACCACCACCTCCACATTCCTCTCCCTGAAGTGCTGAGCACTGAACCCAGCATCTCACACATGCCAGTCTAGTGCTCTACCACTGAGTCACACCCCCAATGGTTTCAGTTTTAAAATGAGTCATGTTGAGACTATGGGTAAATCTTAATGTGGGAAGTCAGCATGTAATTGAAAAATAGCAGGTAAGTGCCTTAAATTTTAGAACACAGGACTCTTCCTGTGCATCTTTCCAGAGTTGCTTCTCAGAGAAAAAACTACAGCACATTCAGGGGACTATAGAGATAGAGAAGAACCAGAGCATACAGGGTGAGCCCATTCTACTCTGTCTTCCTTACTGTTTTTACCAGAAGGGTTACTAAGAAGGCAAAGTCACTTACTCTTTGACAAACAATAGTAAAGGCACTTACAGGTATTTGAACAACAGCCTGTCTGTGGCAAGTGAAGTTTCCCAGAAAAGTAGTCAGGGAAGGCAGCTTTTTGAGGGCTTCTCATGGATGCTTCCAGAGACAATGACACAGCATCACAAAGCTGGGTGAAAATCATTTAGGTGGTCTTTCTGGGTGTTTGGGAAACACACCATAAAATATGGTAATGGTAATAAAAATCCTGCCTCAGAAATTTTGCATTTCATTGAAAAACTAATCTTATAGAATATTAAAACCCCTAATGTGTTATAAAATTTTTAATGCAGTTTATTTTAGTTTTGTGTATGGAACACAGGGGTGTTTTACCACGGTGCCACGTTACCTAGATCTCTTTATTTTGAGACAGAATCTCGCTAAGTTGTCAAGTCTGGCCTCAAACATGGGATCCTCCTGCCTCAGTCTCCCTAGTTGCTGGGATCACAGGTGTATACTACCACACCAGCTATATTATGCATTTTATACATCCCTAGTCATTTATTTACCTATTTATTTATTTATGTTGTAGATGGAAACAATACCTTTATTTTATTTATTTTTATTTGTTAGTGCTGAGGATAGAGCCGAGTGCTTCTCACATGCTAGGCAAGCACTCTTCCACTGAGCTACAACTCCACCCGCTGTAGCCCTAGATGTTTGAAAACTTCTGATGAAAGCACTATTGCCTTTTGGCATTAAAGAACTGAAACCAAGTTCTTTGATATCTTATCTCAAGAAACAATGTATGAGTGTCCCTTTTTCTCCACATCCTCTCTAACACTTATTATTGTTTGTATTCTTGACGATTTCCATTCTGACTGGATGTGGGGACAAGTGCATGAAGTCCTGCATACATGGCATACATTAAGGGTGTTTGAGTGGCAAACCACCCCCCTGTGCTAGGCATGTGAGTGGCAAACCACTTACACCCTAGGCACAGCCCTTGACGTGAGGCTATGTGTTACAGTCCCTGTGCTTGCTTCATGGCCCACTCCTTGATTGGGTACTGCAAGGACAGTTAGCCAGAAATTGTATTGGTGGCTACCTATAATCTGCTTAGCTATTGCCTAAGTATATATACATGGTAATTGCACAATAGAATCAGACCTGCTTCCTCCTTGGTCTCCAAAGGTCTTGATTAGCAGTTCCACAGCCACACTCTCCTCTACCCTGTTCCGTGGACCTCCTCACTGGTTGAGAGAGAGCCCATGCAACAGAAGTGAGATGAAACCTTAGAGTGGTTTTGATTTTCATTTCTCTAATTGCTAGAGATTATGAATATTTTTCCATATGTTTGCTGATTGATGGTATCTCTTCTGTAAAGTATATGTTCAGTTTCTCAGTCCATTTATTGATTGGCTTATTTGTATTTTTGGTGGGGTTTTTTTTTTTAGTTCTTTATATGTTCTGGAGATTAGTGCTCTATCTGAGGTGTGTGTGGTAAATATATATATATATATTTTTCCATTCTGTAGGTTTCTCTTAATGTTATTGTTTCCTTCCAAAAAAAAAGATTTTTAAACATCTACTTGATATACATATTTGTTGTGACAGGCAAAAAACATAAGGTTTTATTTCATTGGCTGTAGGGGACCTTTGACAGATTCTAGATGCCATGTATTTTAGATAGTACCACACTGGGGAAG